CTACAAAAATAAAAAGTCAACACCTGTGGAAAGAAAGGAAAACAAATATTTGTAATAAATACAAATTTAAAAAGTTGCCAGGCATGGGGGTGCATACCTGTAGTACTGGCTACTTGGGAGGCTGAGGCATTACGATGGCTTGAGGCCAGGAGTTTGAGAACAACCTGGGCAACATAGCAAGACCCCCATCTCTACAAAAAAAATAAAAAAATTAGTCAGGCATGGGGGTGCATACCTGTAGTACCGGCTACTTGGGAGGCTGAGGCGGGAGGATCGCTCGAGCCTGGGAGGCAGAGGCTGCAGTGAGTGGAGATTGCACCGCTGCACTCCTGCCTGGGGGACAGAGTGAGACTCTGTCAAAAAAAAAAAAAAAAAAAGAAAAGAAAGAAGGAAGGAAGGAAGGAAGGGAGGAAAGAAAATTTCCCTGGGGGTAGGCGTCTATAAGTTTAGTAAAATAATCGATCTTTCAGTGTTTCCAGCAACAACCTAATCAAGTTTATCAGTGTCTGGGAATGTTCAACGTACCATCTTGGGTTCAAACCTGTAGGCAAAAACATGCAGCTGGCCAGGTTACAGAATGGTGAAGGCACTCTGCATTTCTTGGTTGAGACAGAGAAAAAAAGTGGGCAGAACTGGGTGTCCCTCCCCCCACCACACTATCACAGTGATCCCTTTTGCCTTTCTTCAGGCTCCAGCCCCACCCTATAGTCCCTGCTCCCTGGATTCACTAGGGCTAACTTCAGTAAAGTACAAAGAAAAGGGGGCCATACGAATGACCAAAAAATACATATGTATATCTATTCATGTGGATGACCAGATAGTATGAATGGATTGAAAATTTATCAGGAACAATGGATGAAAGGAAATGCCAGGAGATGAGGGCAGACAGCAGGCAGTTCTGGGGCAGGGACTCTGTAGGGACAGGGTGGCCTACTGGGTGTGCCCCTTTTCTCTTCTCTGGCTCCCTTAGATAAGACCGGCAGTTTTGTCATCCTCCCCCTCTCATTCCACGGCCCCGCAGCCCCAGGCCCACGCTGAAAGTATGTCGATCCAGGAGAACATACCATCCCTGCAGCGCTGGTCATGGGTCTCTAAGTCCTAAAGAGACTTAGCGAAGTCCATCCTGATTGGGGCTCCAGGAGGTAAGAAGGGGAAGCAGAAGCCATGGAACATAGGAGGAAAATGAGGGTGGAAACTAGGAGCCAGAGTGGAGGGTATAAGTGATCCATATCAGCCACTGGCTAGGTGGGTTTTGGAGAGACACGTTCTTCAGAACCTCCCTTGTGTTAAATTACAGACCCTGGCATGGGCCTTTTCCAGGCCCTATAGGCAGGCCAGAGCCGCAACATGTAAGCCACGGGGCACTCCCGTGTTTCCTGGACTCTGGCCCCTGGCATACAGGGCTTCCAGTGGAATAGGAGACACTGGTGACACTTTAACCAGTCTACAGAACTGATCCCCAGCCCAGCTGGGTCTCATGCCTCTGACAACCCAACAGTGTGGAGCAGACCCACAAAGAGGGAGACCCAGAGAGGTGTGCAGTGGCATGGAAGGTGCGGCTGGAATGGGGGGGCTCCTCTGAACTGGGCTGGGTCAAGCTACAGGGACCTCTGGGTCTGTAGCAGCTTTGAGAGGTCTGGGAGACTCAGAGGATGGGGTGGGGAAGCCAGCCAGTAGCCAGGGATTAGAAGGGAGAAAACAGAGACCTTCGGAGCAGGAACTGGGTGATTCTGGGCCTGAATAGGGACAGGCTGCTGGGGACTAGACATCAAGGGGTGGTGGGGTTGAGGGGCATCAGTAGTTGCAGGTTGGGGGGTCCTGGGTTGTGCGGGGTCAGTATAACTGAGTGGTCAAGAACTTGGGCTAGAGTTAGTCAGACCTAGATTTGAATCCTAGCTGATCCATACTTAAAAGCTGTATGATCTTGGACCATTTATTCTCAGTCTCTGTTTCTTTATCCATAAAATTGGATAATTATAGAACATTTAACAGTACCTGCTTTATAGGATCCTTGTGACGTAATAAGATAATATATGCATGATGCCCAGCTCATAAGAAGGGAAGGAATAGAGGGTATGCTGAGAGATGACGGCATGGGGAGGAAGGACAGGTGACATGCAGTCCCTGTGTCCCCTTCTACCACAGGGCCAGCGGGGTATCTTCGGCGGGCTAGTGTGGCCCAACTGACCCAGGAGCTGGGCACTGCCTTCTTCCAGCAGCAGCAGCTGCCAGCTGCTATGGCAGACACCTTCCTGGAGCACCTCTGCCTACTGGACATTGACTCCGAGCCCGTGGCTGCTCGCAGTACCAGCATCATTGCCACCATCGGTAAACACTCCCATCCCCTGCAGCCTCACAGAGCCTACTGGTGTTTCTTGAGGTGCTTCTTCATCTCTTGTCTCCTTTGAGACTTCTCCATGTTTGACACAGTCATTCATTCAATGAAACTTTGTTGAGCATATAGTAGACAAGATTTTGGGCCCTGGGAGTAGATCAGCGAAAAAAACAGACAAAAATCCCTACAGTCTAGCTGGTGTGACAATAAACAGTAAGCACAATAAATTATTTAAAATAAGTAAATTATTTATTCCGTTAGAAAGTGAGGCCGAGCGCAGTGGCTCATGCCTGTAATCCCAGCACTTTGGGAGGCCAAGGCGGGCAGATCACCTGAGGTCAGGAGTTTGAGACCAGCCTGACCAATATGGAGAAACCCTGTCTCTACTAAAAATACAAAGTAGCCAGGCATGGCGGCGCATGCCTGCAATCCCAGCTACTCAGGAGGCTAAGGCAGGAGAATCGCTTGAACCC